TGAATTAGATTGCTAGCAGAGTACTGCTCTATTTCCAGTTGGTTACCTCTACTTTTGCACAGCGAGAGCAGAAGTATAGACGGGAGCAGTGTGTCGTTCTGCAGAGCGTGAATTGAGACCATTCATTGCCTCCTATGGTGACATTCGTTACCTTCTCGGGCGTGCGTCAAATTTTGACACTTTAGTGCAGTAGTTGGTGTGAAGTATATACCGAATGTATTCCAATTTCTTCGTAGTCTATCACTGGTATATAATGGGTGCTCAGTATAGATAGAGTGGTCCAGATCATCCAGTATAGTTGTAGGGATCCTTGGTAGAGGCAGTATGTTAATCCGGGAGCAGCGCAGTAGTGAATACACTTGATCGAGCAACGACTGACTTTTCACTAATATCTAGTGATCAAAATCATCCAGAACCTCTTGTCATGATATGAAGCCATCCAATTGATTAATTTAAACTAGAGTAAGCAACACATTGCAGACGCGGGGACTGCAAAGAAAGGCCGTCAGATTACCGGCACGTGATCGCCCGTGAAATGGAACGCGTCTGAAGGGGGGGGGGAAAAAGAACAAGAAGGAAAAGAAGAAAGAAAAAAGCACTTGGAGAACGCCACAGGCGCTCGCTGGACAAATCCACTGGCCTTCATCCGCGGAAGCCACCATCCGCGATGTCTCAGGTTGATGTAGAATTGGGCGAGCTGCTGGCCGAAGGGCTTCCGGTCCCCGTCCAGCTCACCATTCGCCATGTCTCCTCGACTCCCTCCCCTTCAACCGCGCTCTTCGCCGCGCCTCCCGGGGAGACGCCGGAACCGACCTTTTGCGAAAACCACTTTCTGACGGCCTCGGTCAATTTAGAGGAGAAAGGCGGCGCGGAGGTGATTGTCTTTGGAATGGAGGTGCTGGTGTACAGCACTGCGCACCTGACCACCATCTTCGTTTCCAAGGCCGACTCCACCGGCTACCTTCATCTCCTGCCCAATGCGCCCAAGGTTTCCATTCTCCGGCGCATCTCTCACACCTTTCTCTCCTTTTTGGTCAAAACTCATCAGAGACCGGGTGTCAGACTGCTAGTCTCGCTATTTGCCCGGGCGCAAAACCAATATCTCTTCCCCGGCAGCATTGACAACCCCCAGAAGCATGTCCTAGATGACCGCGGCCTGATCAAATGGTGGTGTCGCGTCGTCGACCCCATCTTGCGCGAGTATGAGCCAGAGTCCGGTTCGCAGGATAAAGGGGCCCAGGACCATCAGACGGAATCGGCCAAAAGCTCAGCAACCGCGTTCCTGATCGTCCCGGGATGTGATCGGTTCGAAACCAGGGGCTTCTTTCCTCCTTCGGCCAAATCGGACGACAAGGACCGTCCAAGATGGCTCACTAGCTATCCTGTGCACCAGTTGTGTGACAATCCCAAGGCACCCCCGCGTTGCTTGGTTCCCCGGTTTCCGGATGACCCCAAAACACGCTTCTTGGAGGACTTGGATGATGAGCTTCCGAAGCAGGAAGCGGAGGGTGTAGTATCCGCAGAAAGTGCCGGTCAGTGGCGAAGCGTCAGGTCTCTGGACCAGTTCTGGGAGATGATGTCGTTCCGACAAGAATGCTCGGCTGGACGACTGGTTGGGTTCTTGTGGCTTGTTATCAATCCTCCGGGACTTGTGAACTCGGTACAGATGACCAGTTCTCGGTCCGTCCTTGGCGACTCCAAGAGCCTGACGGACCATGTGTCCCAGGTGATGTCTGGAGAAAGTGTGACAAGTACAAAGCCGGCTAGTGATGCTGCATCCGCTCCAGAGCATCCTACAACAGACCATGATAAGCAACTGTCATCAGACCCTACGGGTGATTCTACTTCTACTTCAGCACCCCAGCCAGCTGCTATACCATATGAAACTAAAACTCAAGCCCCGCAACCCTCGGACGCCGATGCCTTTCATTGGCCTGAAGCTGGGCGAGGACATGCGGTTCTGAGCGAAGCAGACTACAAGACGGCGATCAACTTCCTGCTTGATCAAGACTTTGATACTGAAGAGGCCTCTATTGCTAGCACAAAGGCGTGGGGTGAAAAGGTAGCCTCCCTCGCAGATCAACTCTGGGTTGGACAGCTGGTTGTGGGACGAAACACGAAGGATGAATCTTCCCAGAAACCTGTGGAGGTCAATACGCTCATGACCACCGGACTTGTTCGCAAGCGCAAGAAGCCTGATGCAGAAGTTGAGCAGAACAGCAAGACCAGTGCTGAGGGTGGTAATGCTGGAGCCTCAACGGCGGCTCCTCCGGCATTTTCTGGGTCGGATCCATCGCCGGCTGTCAACGTTCTCCAAGCCAACTTGATTCGGAAGAAGAAGAAGACGTAAACAGACCATACTCGTGTCGGTTTGGCTAATTCTTAATTGTATTCTTTTGGGGTCACCGACGAGCTCATGTAAATTGCATATGCGGAGTCGGAATTGGGTGGGCATTTGGCGATGGATGGATTTGCATTTTGTATAATAGGACAATTTTTGGGACTTTTATTCTATATCATATTCATTTACTTACTGGCCATATAACCGGTTGAGTACTCCTCCGACAGGTCCGATGGACTAGATAATAAGCGTGGAGCCGCGGCATCCAAGCAGGCAGTGAGATATAATATTTTATAGTGGAACTGTGCCTGAGGCCGGGGGGAAGGCAGTGCGGCTGCATCCGAGCATCCGCCGGTTTCAAACTAAACCAACTAAAGATGAACAGCGCAAAACCTCGCCGGTGAAACCCACCAGCAACGCCCGAGCCAACCATCCGCTGGATCCGACTGGAACACTAGTGTCCTTCGGCTCGACGGTTCATTGCTTGTCTACCGTCTGTCTCTCGCTGCAGCTTGACGGTTTGCGTGGCCGTCGCTCCCCAGTCGAGGAAAAATACAAAAGCAACGAATACGACTTGTGGCCCCGACCGCATTTCTCTCGTTCTCTCCACTTCGTCCTTCGTCTCACTGCCTGCTGGCTTGTCTGCGTCTTTCCCTAGAATGTCCTCATCGTCCTGTTCTGCCTACTGCCAGATCTCCGCCTCTCGCTGTGTCCGCCTATGTTAGAGCCTCAGTCGCGTCCGCAACCCCCCGATGCTGAACCAGCCATCAACCATGGCGGTTGGCAGTGGGCTGTCGCGGCCGGTTGGGTGGGATTGATTTGGTATACCGTCGTGGTGGCTGTCTGCATGCTGGGTTACTTTCAGCTGTAACTCTACCTTTCTCTTTCTCTCCAACCCATCTCGATCAGGCTTGGCATCTTTGCTGACTTTCCACCTGCTCTTTCCATCAGATGGCACTTTTATTTAAGGAAACCCCGGAAATCTTCATCCGCATCGGCTTCGAACGCCCCCCACGTCACCGCGATCCGACCGGTGAAGGGTCTCGAACCCCATCTCTACGAATGCCTGGCGTCGACTTTTCGACAGGACTACCCTCACGATAAGCTGACTGTTTGCTTCTGCGTGTCCTCTCGCAGTGATCCTGCCTATCCTATCCTCCAGAAACTGGTGTCGGACTTCTCGCGGTTTGATGCACGGCTTTACGTCGAAGACGATGACCCGTTACTCCAGCCGGGCCACGTCCCCGCCTACGACTTGGGGCCCAACCCCAAGATTCGGAACATGAGTCGTGCGTACCGTGAAGCCAAAGGGGATATTGTCTGGATCATCGACTGCAACGCGTGGGTGGGCAGAGGCGTCTGTGGACGCATGGTGGACAAGCTATGCGGAACGGGTGCCGACTCGACGAAGAGATACAAGTTCGTGCACCACTTGCCAGTTGCAGTGGACATGACGGGAACCGCTGGTCTTAGGGAGGAGCAGGAAGCGCTTTTGGAGGCTCACACAAACCGAAACGACAGTCGCGACAGCAGCGAGACCGCCATGGTCATGGACCACGGGGCTGGTATGCTGGCGACCGGTGGTGGCCGCTTGGAAGAACTGTTCCTGTCGTCCTCGCATGCGAAAATGTACACTGCCATCAACACTGTTCTGATCGCGCCATGCATCGTGGGCAAGTCGAACATGTTCCGCCGCTCGCATCTCGACTACCTCACTGCGCCGTCTCCGGCAGATCCCCACCGGCGGAACGCGGGCATCGACTACTTCTCAGATAACATCTGTGAAGACCACCTGATCGGAGACCTGCTCTGGAGAAAACAGGTCCGCGGGGAGAAAGAGCAAGGAGAGCGCTGGGGCAAACACGCCTTGGTGTTCGGAGATCTGGCCTTCCAGCCTGTTGCCAACATGAGCGTGCAGGCGTATGTGGCTCGCCGAGTGCGGTGGCTACGCGTGCGCAAGTTCACCGTGGTCCTCGCGACGCTGGTTGAGCCAGGCACCGAGTCAATTCTGTGCTCTTGCTACGGAGCATGGGGTGTCACGACAGCTCTGGCACAATACCTCGGAGACCAAGGGCATGCCATTGCAGAGGCACTATCCACCTGGACTGCATTCTGGGGCTTCTTCTGCCTGAGCATAGTGACGTGGATTCTCATCGACTGGACCGTGTACATCATGCTGCACAGCGGCAAGACGGTGGAGCTGGACGAAGACACGCCGTCGTTCGCGCGGCCGCCCCAAGGCGTAACGCGCCGGCCCTTCCGGGCGTGGTTCACGGCCTGGCTGGGCCGGGAGATGCTGGCGTTTCCGATCTGGCTATGGGCAGTGTATGGCGGCGTGACGGTGATCTGGCGGGATCGACAGTTCCGCGTAGGACTGGATATGAAAGTGCGGGAGATTGGGGGAGATTCTCTCGCAGTGAAGGAGTCATCATCTTCACGATCGAGCTCGTCGTCATCTAAAGCCCGACGAGACTAACCTCATACCACTTACTGTATACAATGTTTGTAAACTAGAGAAAGACCAGACCACGAAAGACCAAGAGCGCAATGAACTTTTATGTTATGTATGATGCAAGTCTATACTCCAACCCAACCTTAGTAAAGCCGTAACATCTCCTCCACCCCCATCATCATCATGATTATATATCGTAAACAGAAATTAATTCGTCGTATCCATCTTCTCCCCCTCCTTCTCCCCACCCTTGTTCTCATCCTTCTCCTTACTAGCAGCCTTCTCCAACGACTCCGCCGCCTTCTCCGAACTCAACAACCACTCAACAACCTGTCTCCCCCTCGTCATCTCCCCAGCATCCTGTTTCTGCTCTCCACCCTCACCACCAATCTCCACCTCCACCTCCTCATCCCCATTATCATCCTCAGCCCCTCCCTCCTCCTGAGTCTTCCAATCCGCCCGCTCCGCCAAAAACACCGCATCCAGTCCCGCATCATTCTTCACCCCGACATCCGCACCCGCCTCTACCAGCGCCTTCACGCACTCCAGATGCGTGTTCAGCGCCGCCCAGTGCAAAGGCGTGTTTCCTGAGTAGTTCCGGTGGTTGAGGACTTTGGTAATTTCTGGACGGCTGGGGAGGGTGGTTAGGGTGGTGAGGAGATAGGTTAGGATTTCTATATTCATTTGTAATTTAGTATGAGGGTGTGGATGTCGCAGATGCAGTTATATCCCGGGGAGAAGGAGGGAAGGGGATGGATTGGGATGTACCTAGGTTCCCGTTCGCAGCAGGGTAATGCAACAGACTCGATCCACTTCCACCTTCTTCCTGGGGCGCCGTGTCGATTGCTGCGGCGATGATGTGTGCCGGGGAAGTGGACGTTTGGGCTGCGAGGGTGTTTAGGTCCGTTTGCAGGTCTTGGAGTTCGCCGGCGCGCGCGGAGTAGATTAGGTCGTCGATTGTGTCGGGGGTTAGGGTGACCATTTTGGATGGATGGATTTGGTTGTGTGGGTTGTGGTTTTGGTTGGGGTTGGGGTATCTTGTGTTTTAGTGTCTGGTTTTTGTTAGCTTTGGATCAATGTCGAAGTTTGGAGTTAATGGTGTTGAAGTGGGATGCATGAATGCATGGATGGATGGAGGGGTATGTGATATCAGTGATATCGTGCGGCATTCTCTTCTCCATATCTGAAGGGTGCAAAAATAATGTATAGAACAGGCGCTCTGTCCGTGAGAATTGACATCACAGCGCTATTCCAACACACCATCGTGTTGTGTATAAAGCGCTGATCTCTTCTTCTCCATCTTTCTGCTGCAAAAAAAAAGTATTGCCCCTCATCACATGAATTGCCCCTCCATCAAGTTTGAAACAGGCTCAAAAAAAGAAAACGAACTGCTAACGCAGAGAACAAGAAGGAACAGCTAGTCTTACCTTCAGCGATATGCGTGAATCGTCAAGCGTCTATGCTGCTGTCTTTCGTGGTCGAGACAATACTAATGTCTGCGGAGAACTTTGATGATGCCCGGTCAGGTGACCAGGTGGATCTCACCCATCTTTATCCATCTTTATCCATCTCTTATCGCAAATACTACAAAGTATACAGTGGAAATAATACTAGGTTAGCTGTTGTCAATGCAATATAATATACATTCCGCTCTATCATGCACCCATAACTACATCAACGCCATGCATCCTCGGTAAGCATACAACAAACAGAAATAGGTATCTCAAGTAGAAAAGCAAAGTAAGAAGTGCGCTCGCTCAATCGAGCAGCACCAGCAGCAGCAGCTTCAATCCCTCAACCACGCCCGTCTCTTTTCCTCCTTTTTCTCCCTCCTCTTCTCCTTGAACATCTTCAGCTCCTTCTTAGTTAACTTCTTCGCACTCCGTTCCGCCCGCAGACTCCGCCCATCATGACTATTCGCCGCCGCATCCACATCAAAGAATGCATACATCTGCCGGTGCGACTTATTCTCATCATTGTGGTACTCTGTATTCTGCGACGCCGCCTGCCACCGCCCCGTAAACCGGTTGAACGCGCCCACCGCCTCATATGCCTGTTCCGGGTCCAGCGCCCCTCCCCCCGCAGCGACCTGATTGGGCTGCTCGTACTGCTGCGCATAAGGCGCCGTAGGATCGTAATCACCATGAATGGCGGGATTATATCCACCTACCACAGCAGTGGTCGCAGCAGCAGAGGAGGAGGGACCGGCGGCGGCGTCGGCGTCCTCCGCGACGGTGTTGTCATCCGCCTTAGCTGCCGCGTCCGGTACCCGCGGGTTCTCCCATTGCGAGACACCCGTGAAGCGATTGTAGAAGTAATAGGCTTGGGCGGTGGGGTCCCAGACGGGTTCCCATCCGTCGTCTTTATTATCATTATCCCCTGGGGGTACTTCGTTGGGGAGCGGCGGGGGAACCTCGTCCGGTAACGGGGGTGCGGCTTCTGATTCTGTTCCTGCTGCTGCTGCGGCTGCCTCCTCTGGTTCTTCTCCTGGTTCCTTTTCGCTGCTTTGTTCTGTTTCTTCTCTTTCCTTGGCTTCAGGGCCGGGTGTTGTTGTCTCCTCCGCGGTCGGGGTCTTCTCCTCGTGCTGCTGCGATTCTCGGGTCTCCGGGACCTGGGGCGGAGATCCCGCCGCGGATGGGCTGTCGTCGGTCGAAGGATTCGCGGACATCTCTCCTGCGATTAGCTATTTCCCTCTTGCTAGCTGAGCGATGTTTGCGAGTTTGGATTGCAGAAGCGCAGAGGTCAACGGTCCTCTGGGTGCTTGGGGTTCTTTCACTGCTTCATTCGATACGTTTATGATGTGAATCCGGAAGGTTGGATTTGCCGGTATGACTAAGCTGAGTTGCTAGACGTATGTTAGTCTAACCTGTTTGGGTTAGATATCTCTCTGGGGTCATGTGATGTTAGGTATGTGATTGGATGGGGCGGAGGTAGATTCACTTGGTTATGAAGTATAGTGATTGAACTGTCTCTATCTATATGTAGAGGTCATGTACCATTTAAAATGTATTGTTGAGTAGAGCTACTTGGTGGAGCTATGAGCAGTCAAGTAGGACCAGTAGGGCTCCATGTGCGCTTCACTAGGACTTACTACTTGTTAATATAGTACCGGGAATTGCCAGCGATATATATTTTTACTGTAGTTCGCATTAAGCCGAGTTCACATTGCTACTACTACCACTACTAGTACTACATCAATAACCTCAAATTAGTAGTACTACTAGCATTCAATAACACTGACTACCTAAAGGACCACTGAATTGGCTTTAATCGAATAGCGGGTGATATCCTGTAACAGAATAGCTTGGATTAATAGGACGCAATGTTGTACCACTTCACAGGTATATTCCAGTTAGACCCTCAACAGAAAACAGCAACTACCTGCAGTGATATGAACATACAGATCATAAGCCTAGAGTAACGCAATGTAGAAATGGCATTGTTACAATCACTTAGGCAGAAATGTCAAGTACAGGCTACACCTATCATTATCATTATTGGGGAGATACTAGTTGTTGAGCTACATAGACCGCTTCATGATATCTGCTATTGTAAAATATTCACAAACCCGAATAGTAACTGCACTCACTAATTGAAAGTAAATACAATTCTTATCAGATATGCCACAATAAATTTCGAACTAAATATTCTCTATGGAAATGTGTCGTAACGAGACTATTTGACACCTATTCATCACCACTACGATGAAAATATAACTCAACATCCACCAAACTACACCAATTAAAGTCTCCTGTATACCTAAGGCACAGAAATCTATAACCCGAAAACCCCCGACCAGCAAAGCGCCGATCACATCCTATACCGGATGAGAGCAGGGAGGTGGCCGGGTAGGGATCGAATCAAGGGATACACACGGACTAATCATGCGAAAGGCAAGGCTTTCTTCCAAGAACGGGAGCTAGATATCCTTGGAAGATTTAGCTTCACTACAAGGTTAACTTCCTAACAATAGGCTTTGTTAAGGAGAATGAATATGAATGTTGAGTTTAGCCCGGTCAAGGTCGAGATTTCCAAATATCTTGTTGGAATGGGGTTTATTTGGTATATGTGGGGGGCTGGTATCTTGTGCATGCGAGATGCAATGCATGATGGCGTGGCTTTGAGGCGATCTTACAGGGAACCGTGGCACAAGGTTATTACTTGGATGGATGTATGTAGCATGTACGATCGAAAAGTATGAATGCATTAGAGAATAGTTTAGGGTGAGGCGATGCTGCATCAAGGTAGTTTTGGTGCGGTGGAGATTAGAGCATGTAGTTCTATAATTATGAATCTGGAGTCGGTTGCCCTGGTAGATTTGATGTTTAGGTTCTAGGTAGTACTGCCATATGGGGATGTTTGTATGTTGGTGTTGATGCTGTTGTTTGCTTCAGAGTAGGGCATGGTGGATGGTCTACATGCTTACTTATATCAGTTCATATTGTACGAACTATGGATTACTGAGACTAGGACTCACATGAAATTCACATAGATACTAATAAAAGAGGTGATTTGAAAGCTGATAACCAATATTCCTAGTATCGATAGTACCAGTGTGATTGATTTACCCTCATATAGTAAACTACCATGAGTAGTGGAGGGCATTATATAGTACTAGTATATATATATATATAGCCAGTCAAGTAGGAATACCCTAATAGTGCTACTAGCACTAGTCAATGTACGTAGTGACCGCTTACTTGTAACTATCTACGGTCTTTAATCAGGCAAAGATTACAGGTCTGCTTTTGCAATGAACGGGTGACTATCTATCCACAGTAATGAAGCTAGTGATCTTGTAGATACAACCCGATCATGCTCCAGATGCTCATATTTCATGTTACACAAAGACCAAATGCGAGATGCAGCTTCACGTGGAACAAACTGGCGAGCCGGTCCAGGCAGCAAGGCCGCCACGTGCCCCGGGAAAGAGGCATTATCCGAGCTTCTTCCTGCAACTTCCCCAGCAACCTCTCAACAGCAATGATCTTCGCACCGAACAACACACAATACCCCCGAAGGTAGTGCCTCGAACGCCGCATACCTCTGTTTCCGATGCATGTTATCCCGGAATGGCTTCCCGACTATAGTGTAACAATGCTCCTCACCGTAGGATGGATGCCGTCCTCGTCACCTGTTTCAGACCCATCTACTAGCCATACCAGCTTCAAGGGCTTCCTAAAAGCTATCAAGGAACTAGGAACCTACAGCTGGTCCTTCCAAGGGACTAGACCCCAGCTGCTCAGATTACAGAGGAGGCAAGATGCCTAGAAACAAAATTGGAATTCGGAGATTAACAGGGATTCATTGGACACCCCTTGCTGGCTCTGAGTCCTGGGGAGGAAATTTCCGTTTCCACCTACACCCCGTAGCTGGGGTGGCTTGGGAGAACGATCTTCTGTCAGGAATCCCTTGCAGAGGAGCACATACCATTGCATATGCTCTGTGAGCTTACGAGTGTTCTTGCAGTTACTTGCATACCGCACGAGCTGTGAGGTGGGACAACATTGCACGGGCCCAGTCATAGCATGGTGGCTAGGTGGGCCAAGTAAGATGAAGCAATATGGGAAGAAGCGAGATTGGACACTTCGTGGCGCATGGAAGAGGTGAATCTTGGACGAGGGATATCCAGTATGGCTGTGGAATCAACTCCCAGCCATACATACGTGAGGTTGAATCACAGAATAGGCTAGCCGCCCGAGGCGCATACATGAGGATCTGCAGGGAAAGCGAGGAGGAATGAGACCTTGGCTGGCCTGCAATGCACCCCAGTCATGCTATCTCACGGTATGCGGAAACAGCATTGATGCCGGGCATGCACGACTTGGACCAGAGGCCGATCCATGCCAACTGCTTAGGGAGCCCGACTCTGTTGAGCTACGATGACAGCTATTGGGACATAGGAGGTCAGGAACGAGAAGGGATGTCCTTGCATCTCGCATTCCACAAGGGGAAGCAGGTCGAGTGTGTATGTGCGGATGAATGGGTTCCGCAGGCACAACACTCATCCTACAGCGTCTTGGCTAGGAGCTCGAGGCCTCCACCGAAATCTATATAAGGGTGTTCGAAGTCGCCCGGAAATCGATCCTCTTCATCAGCATCAATCACATTCGTTGATAAGCCTTCTTTCTCTCTCTTACAGTCCAGTCTTTCCAGACAAGCGCTCTTTTACAAGCAACTCCGAGTTTTAACTCTCGTTCAATTCCAAACCCACCGTCACAATGAAGTTCTCCATCACTGCTGCTGTTCTTGCTTTCGCTGCCACCGTCGTGGCCATGCCCGGTGGTTCTCCTTCCTCCGCCGATAACAACGGCCCTGGCAACGCCAACGGTGCCGGCAACAAGGGCAACAGCGACGTTCGCTTCCCCGTCCCCGGCGACATGACTGTCAAGCAGGCCGAGGACAAGTGCGGTGACCAGGCTCAGCTGTCCTGCTGCAACAAGGCCACCTACGCTGGTGACAGCACCAACGTTGACAGCGGTCTCCTCGCTGGTACCCTGTCCAACCTCATTGGTACTGGATCTGGCTCCGAGGGTCTTGGTCTCTTCCAGGAGTGCTCCAAGCTCCCTATCCAGAGTAGGTCTTCCACAAAAATAACATCAATCACCAAAGCTAATGATTGTAGTCCCCATCATCGGGATCGCCGTCCAGGACATCATCAGCAAGCAGTGCCAGCAGAACATTGCTTGCTGCCAGTCGTCTCCCTCTACCACCGTAAGTACCTCCGGATACCATGCACACCGTCACAAACTAACTGGAACAGGACGACGACCTCATCGGCCTTGGTCTTCCCTGCATTGCCCTCGGCTCCCTCGTTTAAGCTGCTTTCGGGCGAGCTTATGCTTGGGCTTGGCTACGCTTCTCAACGGAATCGTTTGTGGTCGGACCTTGGATTTAGTACTTGGCTTTCGGGCCCGAGAAACATCATGGACTGACCGTGTGCGAGAAACTTGGTGGCGTGTGGCACCTCGGAGAAAGACTGTTCTGTTTGTTTGTACTGCATTTCGTGCATTTGCCGGTGCTTTTGGGCGCTGGTCTCGTTGCATAGAAACTTAATTGCATTAGACTTTGTCTATACTCTTTCCAGTGCTTCCACCGTAACCATTGTAGAACCTTTACCACCAACAATAGTAAAACTTGATCTCAATTAAATGTAAATTCCCTAATCCATCCTGACAAAACAGCCGCATAACTTGTTCCTAAAAGCATTCCCTTCACAAACGAACTGTAGATATCCTGCGATATCTCATAAACCTATGTCAGCCAAAATGCGAAGCAGAAATCTCCCTTGGTACATAGTATCCAAACCATAGTAACCCGGCCACCACCAGATATCTCCAGGTCACACAAGTCCACCGCTGAGTAATCTAAACGACACCGGGCTTCTCCAGCCATAAATGTGAATCTCATCCCGCCCGCTTGAGTCCTAAACAGCTATGATCAACTCGTATGATCCCCTTGAATAGGTGATGGGTGGAAGGCTACAACTATGTCTTTGCTATTATCAACTCACAACTCACTAGTAAGACAGCGACATGATAATCAAATGGGTTATCCCTTGATCTACCTGCCTCTGCTTTTCCCTCTCTCCCTCATGTGCAGAACAGGACGGGGATGGGATTGGGAGGCGGGGAGAGATGGTTGTGTCATGGATGGATGGTTGTTCACTTCAAGACAACCCAATGCTTGATCTCTTTACCTACTACTTGGAGGTGCGGGGAACGATGTAAATTTTCTTCAATAAAATTATCATTATGCTCTGCATAGGTTAGTTATGTAATGGGTTTGTATGTATGTGTAATGTATGATCCATCCCATCCATCCATCCAATACCACCAATTCGCGTATCTTACACCATTATCGCCGCTATCATAGGTTCCTCCTCGTATCGTATCATCCGGAGAAAAAAAAACAAAGAAAGAAAGTAAGTAAGAAGAAAGAGAGAAAGTGACCAGGCCGATCTGGCTAGTAGTGATACACAAACCCACTCCCATCGGATCCTCCTACCTCAATTGCTTTTCAGACAGCGTAGATAGTGGCATCCGACGGGATTAAGTCATCGACCCTTCTTCAGAATCAGAAAAGTAAAGACACAAGAAGACAAGAAAAGAGAAGGTCGAGAGAGAAAAATAAAGAAAATACAAAAGAAAAGAAAGAATCCCAATCAAAAGAAACAGTCAACCCAAGTCAAATCAGTCACAATCACCGCATCAAAAACAGACCTTAAAACACCCACGAAACCCTCCGATATGGACCATACACACCAACAAAATACAAGCCTTGAACCGGTACACCTAACTCCGTCGCTACTGAAAAAGAGTCTGGCTGTTGCGGTTAGTATCGTTGCTGTGCTTCTCCTCCGAGTCACCGTCGTGAATACCGGCCCATCTGCACGGTAGGAGAGGGAAGACAGCAGTGCCCATTCGGCGTTGCTTCTTCGTAGGACTTGAGCTGAGGCTTCCCAAGCTGGTTCCTGAAGCGGGTGGCGCGGATGATGAGAGCTGGGCTGGGTCGGGGAGGGGTCTGCTGTTGGGTCTGAGGACGGGGGATTTGGGAGGAGGGGTGGGTGGGCGGATGGACGTGGAGGAGACGGATGAGACGTATGAATGGTGTGGTGACTCGTTCGTAGGAGATGCGCGAAGAGGGGATTTGGGAGGAATGGCGAATTTGAGGTTAGATAGTTTGGGCGCGGCGGCGACAGCTGCGGCGGTGGATTGGAGAAGGTTGAAGAGCTCGTTCATCGATTTGCGCTGGCTGAGACGCCAGGTTGAGGTGCGCTTGGTAGGCTTGGTGGTGGCAGTCTCAGAGTCGTGCTCTTCCTCTGTCTTTACTTTCTCGTCTGTCACTCCAGCGTGGTTCATGTCTGCATCCTGCTTGTCCTCTTCTTCCACATCCTCAGGAATGTCCTCAATGATACGGCTCTTGATCTCTGGCAGTTTGGCTGCTGCGCTAGGAGGCACGTCCATGCTGGCAGGACGAGGCTTTTTGTCTGGGCTGCGGGGAATGCGGCGGCTAGACAGCTCAAGATCAATGTCGTCTTTGCTCTTAGGCGACAGATGGGCTTTGGGAGGGAGAAGTTCTTCATTCTGAGGGCCGACCTTCATGTCAATGACACGGGAGGTCTTTTCAGAGTTGGAATCGACGTCAGTGTCATCGTCCGAGAGCGTCCCGGTCTGCTTCGCAGCGGTATCATCTTGGACGCTTTGCGGCTGCTTCTCATCCGGGTCGTCCAGGGTTGAGCACTCCGAGTCCGCAGGATTGACGAGACGGATGGAGGGTGTCATCTGTGGGGTCTTGGTGACAGCATCTTGAGGCTGGTCTGGTAGAGCTGATAATTCCGTTGTCTCGTGGTGGTGCTTCTCGTGCTCGTAGGCGGGGAAGGGCTCAGTAGGCTGCGCAAGTTCTGAGATACCTGCACATGTCCAAGAGGCATGGTAATCCTGCCGTCGCTGACGGCGGAGCTTCCGTGCCTGCAAGCAGGGTAGGAAAATGGAAGATAGACACTTCATCTTGCGTGGACGCTGCATGAGGGATGAGTTGAGGATTGAGTTTGTCATGATGCTTGTGTTGTCAATTTATAGCGGCGTGAACCGTGGTGATGTTGTTCTCGTCGTCGGGGCGATAGTAACAGTTGCTCCCGTCGATTGATGCGGGGGATTTTATTGAATCTTTGAGATTAAGGACGCGGGGGTCTGCCACTGGCACTGCAGTTCACGGTAGGGTTCGTGGATCGTGATGGTGCAGGGCACATCAAGTGAGTTTGGTCGTGCGTGATGCTGATGATCGCACCTAATCTCCCACGGGATAGAGGATGTGAAGTGTAGATTGAACCCAGATTAGACTCTGTCCGCCAGCAAACTTCAGTAGGCAGTTCTAGTCAACAAGCAAGTAGTCCATCTCTGCAAGGAGTGACCAAAGGGAAGATTAGGACGCAAGGACGGCCATCCAAATCTTCCTTCCTCTTGCACTCTGGAAACCTGTGTGAGCATTCTCTGCTCAACAATGGTCTGCAAACTCTGGTATAGAAGCTCGTATTGCTACAGTCCATTTCCATGCAAGCCATATGCGGATCCCAATATCTGAAGCCTCAGTGGCGGTAAGGACCAGTATTGGCGAAGTCAGGTTACAGTGGGAGATGCATCCATTGTGACGCCAGAATCTCCATTTGGAGTCATTATGACCATGTGTAACCGCCACGAGAGTATTCTCGTTCGGCCCAGGAAATGATCTGGTCATCGTGCAGCTCCGCATGTGTTCTTTCCCCAGAAGTACCTCTGTTTCCCTCGTTCATCCCTTGGTGGTGGAAATCTCCGCAAGGGATGGCTATTTATGCATTTGACGGGTCGCTACAGTCGTTGCCTTTACACAATCACTTCTATTCCTTGCTTAGTCTGTAATTAAATCACAAGTGTACGCTCCAATCATGTTACCGGGTATCGACTCCATCCACATCCTCTACAGCTTGCTGGGGATGGTTGCCGTGTGCAACGACCTGGAGCGGTCCAGCGCCTCGACGGCTTCCTTCTCAATCCGCTGAAGAAGCTCAGCGCAAGTCGGAATATCGTGGATCAGACCAATGACTTGACCGGCAGTCCAGACCTGTTTTCGTTAGCAAGTAGCCAGACCAATCGGAATAGGAGTAACATACTCCATAGTCAATATCGCCATTCAAGAAAACCTCTCTGCCGCGTTTGCCACTGACGAAGGGCGCGATGTCGCTGAACTCGCCCGTCTTGCTTTCCTTCTCCACCTTCAGAGCCTCCTTGGCCACCTTGTTTCCATACAAGCGAGTGGTGTTCTTCCACCGTCTCATGACCAAAGCCGTCTGCGTCTCATCTGACTTAACGATTGCCTGCTTGACGTTGATGTGAATGGGTGCTTCAATCGTGCACATGAACCGAGTACCCATATTGATACCCTCGGCTCCAAGAGCCAGAGCAGCAGCCAGCCCCTGACCATCAGCAAATCCTCCAGATGCAATGAACGGAGTCTTCAGCTCCTGACGCGCGCGACTTAGAAGAATGAAGTTGGTGATGTCGGTTTCGCCGACGTGGCCGGCGCATTCGAATCCGTCAATGGACAGGAAGTCGACTCCCAGCTTCACCGCAGACTTGGCATGACGGATGGTCGTGCATTTGTGAAGAATGGTGGTGTTGGCCTTCTTGAGTTTTTCAATCACTGGGCCTGGGTTATTTCCCGCTGTCTCGACAATATTAATGCCTTCGTCGATCACCACCTGGGCATAGGCGCCGTAGTCTGGGGGAACGAGTGCGGGGAGGAGGGTGATGTTCACCGCGAAGGGCTTCTTGGTCATGGTCTTGCACCTTCGGATCTCTTTGCGAAGGTCTTCTGGGGTCGGTTGAGTAAGGGCCGTGAGCTGAGCAGTTAGCATTCTAAACCCTTTGTTTCCCAGGCTTATCTCAAGACTGTACGTACAATACCCAGTCCACCAGCGTTACTGACGGCAGCAGCAAGCTCTGCATAACCCACCCATTGCATACCTCCCTGCACGACCGGGACTGCACATTATCAGCAGGCTGTTAAGACCAATGTATATGCCCTCCTACCTGAGATGCCCAGGGCTCTTGTCAGAGCAGTGTTGAAAGGCATGGTGTCGGTGCCTTGAATCTAGGGGTCGGGGCGGTAACTTTCTCGGCAGTTGACAAATGGAGGCGAACGAAGAAAACCAAAAGGTTTGAATGAAACAAGCTCAGATGTATGATCTTATGCGTCTCTAATTCTACTTAAAGACGACAGACAGTAGTTGGAGACCAAGTATGGGGAAGGCTAGGTAAACCCCCGTAAATAGTAATCAACGGTTGTTTGCCGCGGCCGCTGCTGTGGGGAAGCCAGAGTTGCCGAGGTTCAAGCCAAAGGGTATCTGCGTCTGGACAATCTAGGAAGAGGATGTGCTTAATGGCAGCACAGAAAGAAAGCAGGCGCAAATCACCATCGGTTGAAAAGTTGGTCATCTCCTCAGTGTCCATGTAAAACGTAAGGATAGTTGTACTCCTTTGCAAGGTACCGGTGACTTCTTTGTCGCCTCCA